TGTGTTTGAGCAGAATGCTAGCAACAGAGCTACAGAGGCACGTGACATTCCGGTGTTGTTTCCCCTGCAAAGGACAAGGTTTAAAATGATCTTCCATACAGAAAGATTTCTAGCAATAGCCAATGCGACAAACATTTTGAAAACTCTAATTTTCAAAAATAATAAAGAATTTCTGCAAAACAGTATCACCATGCAACTTACTTGGAGTGCTGCAACAGCTCATCAACAATGGTAGTAACTCCAGCATCATCCACGACAGCAAGGACCACACCCTGGCAATGACTGAGGGCCTCATCATATTCGGGCGTTCCAGCAGCCTCGCTCAGAGCTCCAAGGAGGGCTATTAGGATCTTGCTCAGGTGACGCGTAAGGGAATCTCCAGCAACCGAGGCAAGGATGCACAGTGCTTGGGTGTTGACTGGTGGCGTAGTTAACTGTAAGATACATACATGTATTTGGATGAGACAATGCCTGTAACAGATTTCAGAATCTGAAGACTACTATTCCTCTGAAATAGCAAGGAGTCTCACCATGCACAAATAACAAATTTGCCCCCTAAAATAGAAACCTTTCCATCTTTTTCTTTAATGAATAATTTGAAAAAAAACTCAGGCCAGGTGAATCTACACACTAGGAAATAAGGCACATAATATTCCTTCACTAACAAACAGAACCACATAAGAGTAGGGTACCTGAGGAACAAGATATGGCAAGACAACCCTGCTCTTAATAGCCATAACTTGCTTCAAGCCATCGAGAGCGTATTCCTTCGTCTCATCCTCGTTCTCTAGTTGTGCAAGCAGATGTGGCAAGATGTCATCCAAAGCACGGAATCCTACAGTGCTGTGTAAGGAGTCGAAGGTCTGGGCAGCAGCCTGACGCACTGACGACAAAGGATCGCACAGAGCTCGTCTGAAGGAAAGAATGTATGTTAATGAGCATTAAATCAATACCTAAAGCAATTCATAATCATTTTCAGCCATTAGCTTATTAAACGATCTCAGCAATAACTTTCAACACACACAGTTCCTCACAGTTAATGCACCAATAAATCCTACCGTACCTTACAGTCGGCACCAGATTGTCAGCGAAGCACAGAACCATATCCTTACTGGTGGATGCCATAATCTCAGAGAGACCAATGCAAACACCTTGTCTATGGTCTGCCTCAGGAGACCCTAAGCCAGCTTCCAAAATGGGAATGATTTCTGGCAAGACGCGCTCACCAAGTTTGCGTACGAGGTCTCCAAGTGTACGTGCTGCCACCTGGATGGGTGAAGTAAAAAGCACATTACTATACTTGTAATAAACACAAATATATTATCATACTTCCCCTCCAGAAAAAAATATTTGGGTAATAAAAGACACAAAAAAAAAAAAAAAATCAGACAAAGCTGAACTATACAAAGTAAAAGCATTATAGACATGAAAAATAAAACCCTCACCTGTCTCTTATCACAGCTCGTAGAAGCGAGGTGCCCAAGAAGGAGCGAGAAGAGAGTGGGAAGAATTTCTCGCAGGGTCTTGGGGGTGTTGGTAACCACCACCTTCCAGACGTGGAGCGCAGCCTGCCGCACCAGCACGGCAACATCCGACCGACCCATGTAGAGCCCAGCCAGTACCCTGTTGCGCCTCTCTGGACCCAAGATGTCAATAATGGCCTGCAATGTAAGTGATTATAGTAGTATCATATTTACATTCCTACTTATAATCTAATCCAGAAATCAACACTGAGTAAAATGATATCAAGTCTAAATTTGCACAGTAACTATAAAAGGCAGAAATGATCAATACATACCCTCTGGGAGTGTTCTGTACCAAAGTTGTCATCTTCATTGACAGTGTCTGTTGTCATCTTACCAGACACACCTGATACCTTAAACAGCAGGTCTCCCAACAGCTGTACGGAACTGTATGGAGATTGTAAGAAAACTTTTTTAGATTGGACTCACTTAGTTAAGAGGAAATTTAACAGTAAAATAAAATGGATACTTCACTTTTCCTAGAACTCAACCACTAACAAAGTCATAATCATATTACATTATTGAAAAGCATTATAGACATGAAAAATAAAACCCTCACCTGTCTCTTATCACAGCTCGTAGAAGCGAGGTGCCCAAGAAGGAGCGAGAAGAGAGTGGGAAGAATTTCTCGCAGGGTCTTGGGGGTGTTGGTAACCACCACCTTCCAGACGTGGAGCGCAGCCTGCCGCACCAGCACGGCAACATCCTTTACATTCCTACTTATAATCTAATCCAGAAATTAATACAGTGAGTAAAATGATATCAAGTCCAAATTTGTAGAGTATCCATAAAAGGCAGAAATGATCAATACATACCCTCTGGGAGTGTTCTGTACCAAAGTTGTCATCTTCATTGACAGTGTCTGTTGTCATCTTACCAGACACACCTGATACCTTGAACAGCAGGTCTCCCAACAGCTGTACGGAACTGTATGGAGATTTTAAGAAAACTTTTTTAGATTGGACTCACTTAGTTAAGAGGAAATTTAACTGTAAAATAAAATGGATACTTCACTTTTCCTAGTACTCAACCACTAACAAAGTCATAATCATATTACATTTTGTTTCTCTGATACCATAACAGAAAATCATTAAAATACAGACAGATAGAAAGACAACCCAAAAAGTCTACACTAACCTGTATCGAATACGCCAATTGTCATGGAACAGGCCAGCTTCAAGTTCGGGCAGCAGCAACGTGATGGCAGATTCAGCATAAGTGTTGACAATCCTCTGACCAGCTTTGAGGGCAGTTTCACGAACAAATTCATTCTCATCGGCGAGGGCCTAAGAAAAAGAAAGACACAAAATAGAAAAAAAAAAAAAAAAATACTTGCACACTGAACACGCCCCTCTAACCACCCTAAAAATGTAAATAAAGAATTCTGCCTAAAACATACACAACACTTCTCGCCCTAAGAATACAAAGAACAGAGATGAGAGTTATTATAATCAAACATTTCCTATGTACTATAAAGAATCCCAATGTAAACCTCCTCCACACTTCTTATCCCCAATGAAAGGACGTAACTCTCCAACCAACCGCTCTCACCTTCAGAATGGGTGGAATGATCTGGCCGATGTAAGGGGTGAACTCGTCCTGGAACACCGTCGGGAGGAAAATGAACATCATTATGTAGCCGTCCTTCACGTGGGGGGCAATGTCAGAGCGCTCAGCCGTGGCGATGATGTCGGGCATCAGGCGGTGCAGCTTTTCCGGACCTAGGCCACCCACGACCTGAAAATCACAAACAAATGTTTAAGCTGTCTTAGGTGAATTCTCCTCCTGGTATCTGAACTGTTTTTACATCCAGATTTCAGTATCATAAATGCATGAAATAAACTTATAGCTCATGGTACATTATTACTACAAGAACTTTGTCCTGTATGGGTTACTATTCAGAGCTGAACACAGGGAAAAAAAAAAAAAAAAAAAAAAAAAAAAAAAAAAAATTAACAATAAGCCTTCAAGATAAGAAAGCAGTATCAAATTTTTCAAAGCAAATTACATAATAACAAGCACCCCATCATATGACTATCACCGTCTACAACTTTCTGTAGCAATGCTAACAGAACACTCCTTACCTCTGCCAGACCCTGAGCTGCTCCTGAACGGTCAACGCTCGAAGACTCCGAGGTCAGCGTCTGCATCAGCCAGGGTAGGAGGTCATCGAAGCTGGACTCTCCCATGCCCTTTACCATGGCTCCCAGTGCACGTGATGAAACGGCACGCACCTATGGTATAGGGAAATACATTCTCTGTAATTCCTATTGGTAAAAGATATACTCTACGTTTATCTAGTATCTGAAAAGGTGTTTCCATTCTAGAAAGATTTTTTATTCAAATCAATCAACTTATTTTCAATATCAGCACAGCAAAACATTTTTAAACACCTAAAAATGCCAAATAAAGAGGCAATACGCAGAAAACAAAAGAAACAACACATGAATTTCAACAGTCAAAAACAACCACACAAATGAACCTAACAAAGGAAAAACTAAAACAGCACAAAGAAATCCTTCCTTCACACCTTTGGCACAGGATCCAGCAAGGAAGCCTTCAAGCCTGGGATGATGGCCGGGAGGTAAGGCTGCAGGTCCTTCTGGTCAGTCAGCGAGTACATGTTACCGATGATCTGAGCCGCCATTTTTCGGACCTACAGGTGGGGCGTAAAAGAAAGAGTTGTTATTATTATTTTTTAAATTATTCTGAGCCTTGAACAAAATAGAAAATGTTAATAATATGTTAATAGACTATCTGGGTCATGAATGAGGTTAGAGAAAGATAACTAAGGTAATAGGGAGCAAAAAGAGAAAAAAAAGTAGTACGAAATTACATTGAAAAATTATTGAGAAAAAAAAGGAAAATTAAAATCAAAATAGAAGCTGGACAGTAAAGAGGATAATACTCAAAATAAGGAATATTCATAGCACGAAAAGGAATTAAAGAGTGAGTATAGAAGCACAGACAAGAAAGAGAGAAAATTGGAAGATAAACAGAGTATTCATAGTTCTAATTTAAAGAAGAGTACAAAAAAGATAAGAAAAAAAAAAGAAAATAATTTACAAGCCAATAAGTTCAAACACAACTTGACTAACCTTCATCAGAAAGATCAGGTACATAAGCCTCAAAAAGTAAAATTTCACTCATAACTACACCTAACCCCCAAATAAAATTTAAAAAAACAGACACAATAACTAGTGAAATCCCTCAAATTCCTAGAAAAAGCATATCTTAAAGAAGACTTCAAACAGTGGCTATGTTTCAAATGAAAGTTCAAAGTTCAAAGCTAAGGAAATGACCCATAATGTCTCACCTCGGTCGACCTATCTTGGAATGCTCTCTGGACTACGGGCATGATGAGAGCCAGGGATGGCGCGTCGATGAAATGGACAAACTTCGTCTCGAGCAAAGTCTGCAGGCAAGTTGACGTGTTCCTGCTAGGGTCTTGCAAAGCATCAAGCAATACTGGTACAATGGCTGCAACGAAAAATCAAAAGGTAAGAACACGAAAAATTAACAACATTACCAAAAAATCAAAACATGGCATGTAAGTATTTCATGGAAAAGGGCATTAGCATGGTGGGTAAAGTCTAGATATCATTCCATGAGGTACATGTGGTGTAACTGTACAGTAGGCATATTGTAGTATGGTTGTATGGTAGGGGTATTGAAGGTATGGTTGTATGGTAGGGGTATTGAAGGTATGGTTGTATGGTAGGAGTATTGAAGGTATGGTTGTAGGGTAGGGGTATTGAAGGTATGGTTGTATGGTAGGGGTATTGAAGGTATGGTTGTATGGTAGGGGTATTGAAGGTATGGTTGTATGGTAGGGGTATTGAAGGTATGGTTGTATGGTAGGGGTATTGAAGGTATGGTTGTATGGTAGGGGTATTGAAGGTATGGTTGTATGGTAGGGGTATTGAAGGTATGGTTGTATGGTAGGGGTATTGAAGGTATGGTTGTATGGTAGGGGTATTGAAGGTATGGTTGTATGGTAGGGGTATTGAAGGTATGGTTGTATGGTAGGGGTATTGAAGGTATGGTTGTATGGTAGGGGTATTGAAGGTATGGTTGTATGGTAGGGGTATTGAAGGTATGGTTGTATGGTAGGGGTATTGAAGGTATGGTTGTATGGTAGGGGTATTGAAGGTATGGTTGTATGGTAGGGGTATTGAAGGTATGGTTGTATGGTAGGGGTATTGAAGGTATGGTTGTATGGTAGGGGTATTGAAGGTATGGTTGTATGGTAGGGGTATTGAAGGTATGGTTGTATGGTAGGGGTATTGAAGGTATGGTTGTATGGTAGGGGTATTGAAGGTATGGTTGTATGGTAGGGGTATTGAAGGTATGGTTGTATGGTAGGGGTATTGAAGGTATGGTTGTATGGTAGGGGTATTGAAGGTATGGTTGTATGGTAGGGGTATTGAAGGTATGGTTGTATGGTAGGGGTATTGAAGGTATGGTTGTATGGTAGGGGTATTGAAGGTATGGTTGTATGGTAGGGGTATTGAAGGTATGGTTGTATGGTAGGGGTATTGAAGGTATGGTTGTATGGTAGGGGTATTGAAGGTATGGTTGTATGGTAGGGGTATTGAAGGTATGGTTGTATGGTAGGGGTATTGAAGGTATGGTTGTATGGTAGGGGTATTGAAGGTATGGTTGTATGGTAGGGGTATTGAAGGTATGGTTGTATGGTAGGGGTATTGAAGGTATGGTTGTATGGTAGGGGTATTGAAGGTATGGTTGTATGGTAGGGGTATTGAAGGTATGGTTGTATGGTAGGGGTATTGAAGGTATGGTTGTATGGTAGGGGTATTGAAGGTATGGTTGTATGGTAGGGGTATTGAAGGTATGGTTGTATGGTAGGGGTATTGAAGGTATGGTTGTATGGTAGGGGTATTGAAGGTATGGTTGTATGGTAGGGGTATTGAAGGTATGGTTGTATGGTAGGGGTATTGAAGGTATGGTTGTATGGTAGGGGTATTGAAGGTATGGTTGTATGGTAGGGGTATTGAAGGTATGGTTGTATGGTAGGGGTATTGAAGGTATGGTTGTATGGTAGGGGTATTGAAGGTATGGTTGTATGGTAGGGGTATTGAAGGTATGGTTGTATGGTAGGGGTATTGAAGGTATGGTTGTATGGTAGGGGTATTGAAGGTATGGTTGTATGGTAGGGGTATTGAAGGTATGGTTGTATGGTAGGGGTATTGAAGGTATGGTTGTATGGTAGGGGTATTGAAGGTATGGTTGTATGGTAGGGGTATTGAAGGTATGGTTGTATGGTAGGGGTATTGAAGGTATGGTTGTATGGTAGGGGTATTGAAGGTATGGTTGTATGGTAGGGGTATTGAAGGTATGGTTGTATGGTAGGGGTATTGAAGGTATGGTTGTATGGTAGGGGTATTGAAGGTATGGTTGTATGGTAGGGGTATTGAAGGTATGGTTGTATGGTAGGGGTATTGAAGGTATGGTTGTATGGTAGGGGTATTGAAGGTATGGTTGTATGGTAGGGGTATTGAAGGTATGGTTGTATGGTAGGGGTATTGAAGGTATGGTTGTATGGTAGGGGTATTGAAGGTATGGTTGTATGGTAGGGGTATTGAAGGTATGGTTGTATGGTAGGGGTATTGAAGGTATGGTTGTATGGTAGGGGTATTGAAGGTATGGTTGTATGGTAGGGGTATTGAAGGTATGGTTGTATGGTAGGGGTATTGAAGGTATGGTTGTATGGTAGGGGTATTGAAGGTATGGTTGTATGGTAGGGGTATTGAAGGTATGGTTGTATGGTAGGGGTATTGAAGGTATGGTTGTATGGTAGGGGTATTGAAGGTATGGTTGTATGGTAGGGGTATTGAAGGTATGGTTGTATGGTAGGGGTATTGAAGGTATGGTTGTATGGTAGGGGTATTGACCATCTGTCCATGCATCCATCTGTCCATGCATCCATCTGTCCATGCATCCATCTGTCCATGCATCCATACATCTATCCATCTATCCATCTATCCATCCATCCATCCATCCCATCCCTCATAATGTCACAAGTGTTTGCTTAATTTAGTTTCCCACAGCATTATCCAATAAAGGGAGAGCATACCAAACAAGCATCCACCCTTCCATCCATCCATCCCTTACACGACAGCCACCGGCACATCCGACATTCCGCAGACAAACCACAGCCGAACCATACCTGTCTTCGTTCTCCACGAGTCCTCCTCCAGCGCAGCCAAGAGGGACGGCAGGACGAGCTTCACGCCGTGGGCCGAGAGCTTGCCCATGACGGCCTTGGCGGTATCGTCGGCAGCCTCCCGGACGTAGTGGTTGTTGTCGCCGAAGCACAGAAGCAGGTGCGGCAGGATGTGCACGATGTAGGGCTCGAACAGCTTGCCTAGCATGTTGCACAGCTGCTCTAGGGCAAAGAGAGCTCCTTCCCTGAATTTGTAGTTCTTTTTGTCCTGCAGTGTCAAAAAATAAATATGTAAATAACATCAAATTATATCAAATCAAACCAAACAATTTAATTTAAACTGACTAAACTAAATTAAATTAAATTATACAGAATAAAAAATATATGTAACTACTATAGTAATACAATACTATTCTAACAATAATAACAATGATCAAAACTATTATTATCATCACTCTTGTTATTAGTATTATCATCATAATGATCAATACAATAATAATTCTAGTAAAAATCATAAACTATTATAATATTTAGATTCACACATGTTAATATTAACCCACTGCCGCCGGGGATGGCATGTACGTACATGCCATGCCCACTTTGAGTCGACTTGTTTGATTGTTTTTACACATAGATGGCTACACTTGTACTAAGTATCCAATGAGCCAATTCGAGTACTGCCTGTCTCGCCCGTTCACCCTTTTCATCGATTTACGAAAATATTTAACGTTATTCTAATTTGCTGTTAAAAATAACACCATCTATATTTATAGCACTAGTAAGAATACGTTTTTTCCCGCCAATTTAAGGAAAGGTGAAATCACAACTAGCAGAGCCATCTATGGACAGAGATATTTCACAAAAATTTAAAAAATGAGTACAGTATTTTCCCCATTTTTTGTTAATTTTCCCCGGCGGCAATGGGTTAATCTAATAACAATAATAATAACAAAATCAATATCATTAATAGTAATTGTAATGATAATGATAAAGATAACATTAACCCATTGGCCACGGATTTATGTTCTGTCCCCTGTTGGTTTTGGTGAATTTTGCTACCTACAGATGGCTCCACATGTACTCAGCCGGCAAGGAGTCTATCAGTAGGCCCTAGTTACCGACCCTGATTTTCCCATTCATTGAATTGGCGGGAAAATTAATATCATTGCTTTCGATGCTGTTATTATTGTTACTGATGTTATGATGATTGAATTGTCATTAGAATATTTTTGACAATAAGATGATACAAAAAACCCTTTCCGAAAGTGAAGGAAAAGGCTAAACAGGTGAAATAGGTAGTTCTTGATAACTGGCTATTTGGTGATTAAGAACTTGTAGAGCCATCTATGTGTAAATACAATAAATAAACGTGTATCAAAGTGGGTATGGCATCTATTCTTGCCATCCGCGGCGAATGGGTTAAGAGCAACAAAAATAACAATAACAATATTCATACTAACATCAATATCAATATCAATAATATCAATAATATCAATAATAATAATAATGATAATAATAATAATAATAATAATAATAATAATAATAATAAAATAATAATATTAATAATAATAATAATAATAATAATAATAATAATAATAATAATAATAATAATAATAATAAATAATAATAATAATAATAATAATAATAATAATAATAATAAAATAATAATAATAATAATAAATAATAATAATAATAATAATAATAATAATAATAATAAATAATAATAATAATAAAATGGATTCTTGGAATCAAAAAATAAAATATAAATAAAGATAATAAACAAACAAGCAATGAAAAGTTATTTCAAAAGCAAATCCATTTCCAACACAAAACAAAGTTGCAACATTTCAACAGCTCACCTTTCCATGGCAATTGACAACAGCCATAGCAGCCGCCAGCATCTTATTCCTCACTTCAGAATTACGATCACCTAAAGCACCAGGGACAAAGAAATTGGCAAGGGTCACAACTGTTTCGCGACTGAACAAGGGCGCCAGCTGGGTCAGGGCCATTGCAACACCAGCCCGCCCTTCCCACAGGTCAATTGCCTCCTTAATTATGCGGTCATACTGATCACGCACTGCCGGGGTCATCTGTTAAAATACAGTAGAAAGAAAAAGGTGTTTATCTTCATCACAAATCAAACGACTGGTGATATACACACAAGAGAAACAAACACAGATTAATCAAACATTCTAAACAAATAATATAAGTACATATACACATATGCAAAAAAAAAACAAAAAAACTTTTTATTTACCTAACTAATATACAAACAAAATTCTCTGTAAAACAAAAAAAAAAAAAACAGAACAAAAATTTCCTCAAAACCTAACTTACCTCCTTCTTGGCCTTAAATATTTCAATGAGTTCTAAAGTGACGGGAGCTACAAGATCCTGATAATCCGTTGCGAGGGCAGCCAGAGCCACAGCACCAGCTTCACGCACAGCACCAACAGGGTGGACAATGTCTCGCAGGACACCTTCACTCAGAGCTCCTGTTGCCTGAGGACACACAAAAAAAAAAAAATAAAATAAAAAAAAAAACAGACAAAAATTTCCTCAAAACCTAACTTACCTCCTTCTTGGCCTTAAATATTTCAATGAGTTCTAAAGTGACGGGAGCTACAAGATCCTGATAATCCGTTGCGAGGGCAGCCAGAGCCACAGCACCAGCTTCACGCACAGCACCAACAGGGTGGACAATGTCTCGCAGGACACCTTCACTCAGAGCTCCTGTTGCCTGAGGACACACAAAAAAAAAAAAAAAAACAGACAAAAATTTCCTCAAAACCTAACTTACCTCCTTCTTGGCCTTAAATATTTCAATGAGTTCTAAAGTGACGGGAGCTACAAGATCCTGATAATCCGTTGCGAGGGCAGCCAGAGCCACAGCACCAGCTTCACGCACAGCACCAACAGGGTGGACAATGTCTCGCAGGACACCTTCACTCAGAGCTCCTGTTGCCTGAGGACACACAAAAAAAAAAAAAAAAAAAAAAAAAAAAAAAAAAAAAAAAAAAAAAAAAAAAAAAAAAAAAAAAAAAAAAAAACTTTTTATTTACCTAACTAATATACAAACAAAATTCTCTGTAAAACAAAAAAAAAAAAACAGACAAAAATTTCCTCAAAACCTAACTTACCTCCTTCTTGGCCTTAAATATTTCAATGAGTTCTAAAGTGACGGGAGCTACAAGATCCTGATAATCCGTTGCGAGGGCAGCCAGAGCCACAGCACCAGCTTCACGCACAGCACCAACAGGGTGGACAATGTCTCGCAGGACACCTTCACTCAGAGCTCCTGTTGCCTGAGGACACACAAAAAAAAAAAAAACAGACAAAAATTTCCTCAAAACCTAACTTACCTCCTTCTTGGCCTTAAATATTTCAATGAGTTCTAAAGTGACGGGAGCTACAAGATCCTGATAATCCGTTGCGAGGGCAGCCAGAGCCACAGCACCAGCTTCACGCACAGCACCAACAGGGTGGACAATGTCTCGCAGGACACCTTCACTCAGAGCTCCTGTTGCCTGAGGACACACAAAAAAAAAAAAAACAGACAAAAATTTCCTCAAAACCTAACTTACCTCCTTCTTGGCCTTAAATATTTCAATGAGTTCTAAAGTGACGGGAGCTACAAGATCCTGATAATCCGTTGCGAGGGCAGCCAGAGCCACAGCACCAGCTTCACGCACAGCACCAACAGGGTGGACAATGTCTCGCAGGACACCTTCACTCAGAGCTCCTGTTGCCTGAGGACACACAAAAAAAAAAAAAAAAAAAAAAAAAAACTTTTTATTTACCTAACTAATATACAAACAAATTTCTCTGTAAAACAAAAAAACAGAAAAAAAAATCCTCAAAACCTAACTTACCTCCTTCTTGGCCTTAAATATTTCAATGAGTTCTAAAGTGACGGGAGCTACAAGATCCTGATAATCCGTTGCGAGGGCAGCCAGAGCCACAGCACCAGCTTCACGCACAGCACCAACAGGGTGGACAATGTCTCGCAGGACACCTTCACTCAGAGCTCCTGTTGCCTGAAGACACACACAAAAAAAATTAAATAAAAAAATTAACTTTATCTTGCATTTTCATTCAACCCAATATAAAAAATTATTAATCCTCGGGTATTACTACCTTTAAATCTACTTAGACTTCTGTCAAGAATATTTGCAAATCTAAACAATTCTATATCTAGCTTGCTTCCTTTAACCATACATCTCCTGAATGACATCTAATGCCCCAAAGATAAGAAATCACAAACCTGCATATCGGCCATTTCCCAAAGCTTCAGAGCCAGCTTGGAGACGTCCTCTGAGACATCGTGCCTCGCAACCCACAGTCGATGGGTGATGTGTAGGCTGGTCTCCTGGTCAGTTTCCATGGTAGGGAAGCAGTTCACCACCACAATCAATCCCTATTTAGTTTAAAAAATAACAAGTTGTCAAAAAAGTAAAAGGGGGATACAAGTTCATGTACAGAAAATAAAATTAGCAAATCCATTCATAACAAAGTATATAACAACAGTAACACAATATATGCAAGGAAAAACAAACTACTCTGCTCTAGTTTATTACTTGATACAACAAATGAAGTACATCATCTTAACTGAAACCTAATACTTAAGCTCTCATCTAATGGAAAAGTATTACTCCCTCGTAAATATATATATCTGTAAAATGTATACGATTCTAAAAAGAAAATAGAAAAAAAAAAAAACTAATCTACTATTTTTCTATCCTCCCTTCTAAATCAACTCACCCTGAGTGCTGCATCCCTGACCGCCTGTTGTGGGGCCTGAAGCGCGTTTAGAAGGACGTTGATCTCATCCAGAGAAGCTTTATCGCAGCCAATATCACCTGACGCACAGTGACACATCTCTTCGTCATCCTCGTTCGCGGATCTGTTTTTGTTGGGGTTTTAAATGGGCTTGTTTCTAGTACAAGTTTTATCAACTTACCATCTAAAAATGTTATGTGAAAATATCAAGGAATATGAACTTAACAGGTAGTGACTGTGCCATTTTTTATTAATATTAAGTTAGATAATTACCACCACCAAAAAGTACATATCCATTTACATATCACTCAGATTATTCTTAACTAATTTTAGAATGAAACTGGTCTTTCTCTGTAATAAACGAAAATAACAATCATCTTGGCTAAATGCAAATAACCTTTAAATTTTACCCTGGAATGGTTAGAGAAACGACCTCCAGATTTTGTGATCTCGGGTCAGTCTTCCACCAGCTTTCTATAATCAGACCCTAGACCCCAATCATTAACCCACTGGAGTTGGGAACATACACTGTCCACTACGCTTAGGAGTCAATTACTAGGCCTACAAATTCATTTTGGTTTACTCCATGCCTTGCATTTTTGGTAAAATAACTTCTATTACCATTACCAGTTACTATAGCTGTATCTATCATCAGAGTTACTATCATATGGTTATTAATAATATACCATTACTATAAGGCTAATGACAATATAATATTACTCTTACTAGGTTAATGATAATAAGAATAAAATAAACATTTCTTTCTGAAATTTCCAGGAATGTGGTAAAACTGTTTAAGATCAGATAGGCCTAGTAATTGACTAGCTGATTTAAAAATTTCTGTGTATTTGTATATAACCAAAGTAAATAACACTGTAAAATAAAAACAGTGAATGGCATTTAATTCTACACTCCCAGCATCAACGGACATTAAAAAAAAAAAATAAATAAAAAAAAAAAAAACTTACTTATCACATTGATCAAGAGAGTGAGGAGGTGTTTGCGAGGCAGGAAGCACGGATGATAAAGGTCCTCCTCGTCGGCCCCCCTCATGGCCATGTGCTCGCTGATCACCTGCAGAGCCTTCCCGGCCACAACCTCGAACTTCTCCTCCCCGCCCAGTCGCTTCGTGAGGACCCACTCCAGGAAGGGCAGGCAGTACACAAAGCCCGGGGCACAGTAATACTTCTCGTCGTCATCCTCGTTCGCGGATCTGTTTTTGTTGGGGTTTTAAATGGGCTTGTTTCTAGTACAAGTTTTATCAACTTACCATCTAAAAATGTTATGTGAAAATATCAAGGAATATGAACTTAACAGGTAGTGACTGTGCCATTTTTTATTAATATTAAGTTAGATAATTACCACCACCAAAAAGTACATATCCATTTACATATCACTCAGATTATTCTTAACTAATTTTAGAATGAAACTGGTCTTTCTCTGTAATAAACGAAAATAACAATCATCTTGGCTAAATGCAAATAACCTTTAAATTTTACCCTGGAATGGTTAGAGAAACGACCTCCAGATTTTGTGATCTCGGGTCAGTCTTCCACCAGCTTTCTATAATCAGACCCTAGACCCCAATCATTAACCCACTGGAGTTGGGAACATACACTGTCCACTACGCTTAGGAGTCAATTACTAGGCCTACAAATTCATTTTGGTTTACTCCATGCCTTGCATTTTTGGTAAAATAACTTCTATTACCATTACCAGTTACTATAGCTGTATCTATCATCAGAGTTACTATCATATGGTTATTAATAATATACCATTACTATAAGGCTAATGACAATATAATATTACTCTTACTAGGTTAATGATAATAAGAATAAAATAAACATTTCTTTCTGAAATTTCCAGGAATGTGGTAAAACAGTTTAAGATCAGATAGGCCTAGTAAATGACCTTGTTGATTTAAAAATTTTAGTGTATTTATATGTAACCAAAGTTAATAACATAATAAAATAAATGCAGTGAATGGCATTTAATTCTACACTCCCAGCATCAATGGACATCAAAAAAAAAAAAAAACTAATCTACTATTTTTCTATCCTCCCTTCTAAATCAACTCACCCTGAGTGCTGCATCCCTGACCGCCTGTTGTGGGGCCTGAAGCGCGTTTAGAAGGACGTTGATCTCATCCAGAGAAGCTTTATCGCAGCCAATATCACCTGACGCACAGTGACACATCTCTTCCAGCACAGCACACGCCGTCTGTTGCGTACGTCCAGAGCTTGTGCCTGAAAACCGCAAGAGTATAACCATTGTAATTCTAAAATGTATATATTTGCAAGAAAATTGTGATTTAAATGTTTTATATATTATTCCCAGTAATTTTGGAATTCCCAAAGCACTTAGTTTAAAACCTCAGTCATACTTCATAAAATCTCTTCACATTACTGTACAAGGCATTAAAAAAAAAAAAAAACTAATCTACTATTTTTCTATCCTCCCTTCTAAATCAACTCACCCTGAGTGCTGCATCCCTGACCGCCTGTTGTGGGGCCTGAAGTGCATTTAGAAGGACATTGATCTCATCCAGAGAAGCTTTATCGCAGCCAATATCACCTGACGCACAGTGACACATCTCTTCCAGCACAGCACACGCCGTCTGTTGCGTACGTCCAGAGCTTGTGCCTGAAAACCGCAAGAGTATAATCATTGTAATTCTAAAATGTATATATATGCAAGAAAATTGCGATTTAAATGTTTTGTATATTATTCCCAGTAATTTTGGAATTCCCAAAGCACTTAGTTTAAAACCTCAATCATACTTCATAAAATCTCTTCACATTACTGTACAAGGCATTAAAAAATAAATAAAAAAATAAAAAACTTACTTATCACATTGATCAAGAGCGTGAGGAGGTGTTTGCGAGGCAGGAAGCACGGATGATAAAGGTCCTCCTCGTCGGCCCCCCTCATGGCCATGTGCTCGCTGATCACCTGCAGAGCCTTCCCGGCCACAACCTCGAACTTCTCCTCCCCGCCCAGTCGCTTCGTGAGGACCCACTCCAGGAAGGGCAGGCAGTACACAAAGCCCGGGGCACAGTAATACTTCTCGTCGTCATCCTCGTTCGCGGATCTGTTTTTGTTGGGGTTTTAAATGGGCTTGTTCCTTGTACAAGTTTTATCAACTTACCATCTAAAAATGTTATGTGAAAATATCAAGCAATATGAACTTAATAGGTAGTGACTGTACCATTTTTTATTAATATTAAGTTAGATAATTACGACTTAAGTGTTTTTTAATATCTACACCAAAATGTACGTATTCATTTACATATCACTCAGATTATACTAAACTAATTTTAGAATGAAACTTGTCTTTCCCTGTAATAAACAAAAATAACCATCATCTAGGCTAAAAGCAAATAACCTTTAAATTTTACCCTGGAATGGTTAGAGAAACGACCTCCAGATTTTGTGATCTCGGGTCAGTCTTCCACCAGCTTTCTATAATCAGACCCTAGACCCCAATCATTAACCCACTGGAGTTGGGAACATACACTGTCCACTGCACTTAGGAGTCAATTATTAGGCCTACATATTCTTTCTGGTTTATTCAATTGCATTTTTGGTCAAATAATTTCTATTACCATTACCATTGCAACTAAAACTATCTATCATCAGTGTTACTATCATATGGTTATTAATAATATAACATTACTATAAGGGTAATGACAATATAGCATTACTCTTACTAGATTAATGATAATAAGAATAAAATAAACATTTCTTTCTGAAATTTCCAGGAATGTGGTAAAACAGTTTAAGATCAGATAGGCCTAGTAATTGACTAGTTGATTTAAAAATTTTAGTGTATTTATATGTAACCAAAGTAAATAACACTGTAAAATAAAAACAGTGAATGGCATTTAATTCTACACTCCCAGCATCAACGGACATTAAAAAAAAAATTAACTTCCATGTCTAAATAACTCTGAAAAGACCGCAAGCCTTACTTCTTTGGCACAGTGGCTTCATGTAGCATGTTGAGCGTTCTTTGGGCTGACGATTCTAGGCTTTCCCCTTCCCAGTCCCATGGTATCGGCATGACCGGACCACAAACTCTAACCGTGGTGCGTGCCAATGTGTGCGCTGTAGGAACAAAACATAGTTGTTAGAGAAATTTTTTGCCAACATGTTTAAAGTCATGTAGTGCTAATTGCTATTAAATTTAATTTCCTATATCAGGGATGATTTTATCTTTGGAGTTAATCTTAATAGGTATTGCATATATCACTCACATACTAACAATAATAGACATCATATATATACAAAAAAAAAAAAGTCAACAAAGCAAATAATTCCATAAATTCTAACTGAAAGACAATCAAGGGATCAAGAGACATTTTCCCTACTCACCAAAAACATCATCATCAATTTCAAAGACTGCCATCCTCAGCTTCAGGTATAAATCACAGCACTGCTGGGCAATGACCCTCGACTTCAGGGATGAGGTGAGAAGTGGGACAATGTGCATGAAGTGGGGAGCGAGGTCGTCCAGGTTGCCAGCCACTAGAGCATTCAACATTGACATGGCTCCCGCGACGCTATCCTGCAGCGCTCGGACTCTGCGGAGAACAATTTGGAAATTACAGAACATTCATGAGTTATAAAGAACAACTATGTTTCTGTTTTAGAATAGCAGTACCACAATTGGACAAATATAGACAGATCATCAGCCTGAAATAGTTGCCAGATTTCCCTCTTACTTCTCTCTTGTTGCATTCTCCTTCTCCGTCTGGGCTCTCAGGACTTCCTTCTGCTTGGCTGTTAATTCTAGTTTTCCTTCCTTTCTCTTCTTTTCCAACTCCTTCTTCTTCTCCTCAAGCATCATCAGCTGTTCCTTGTGGCTGTAAACCTTGTTTGATTTCTTCACATTCTGAATATTTAAATGATCTTCAAAGGCCCTGAAATTTAATGAAGTTAATTATTTTAGGACCTTGGCTATGGATGTGAGGGATGAAAAAAGTTACAAGAAATTAAAAATCTATATGCATAATTTAAAAAATACAAAAATCAATCATTCTTAAATGCCTGCCAAAAATGAATGGTCTTGAAACACATGCGCCCTTCAAATTTTGCATTTTTTTCAATTGTCATCTTGGCACTTATATCCAAAGCACCTTTTCATCATAAACCTTCATACATTCTTACTATCTATATTACTAAGCCATCATTATAAAAACTATACTTTTCGAGTAGGAAAAGGAATACTAGTAAGAATACTCTGTTTAAGACAACACTGCACAAAAAAAAAAGAATTTATAATTATTATACAAATGTCCGAACATTACTTACTCCTCCACTACAGACTGGTTGAACAGCGTGCCTTCGGGCGTGTTGAAAATAGCAAAGTCTTCCTCCGAAACCTGCGTCAGCTTAGGGTTGTTTAGGCGGTTGATGGCATACTTTACTACTGGCGGGATAACCACTCTACCTCCTAAACGAGCTAGGCCTGCTAAGACCTGTTGTAAAAAAAAAAAAAAAAAAAAAAGAAAAAAGAAAAAAAGAAAAGGAAAAAGGAAAAATATTAGTTTCAATGAAAATGGAAGAAAATAAAAAAAAAAAACAGTCAAGAGAAGGACATTAATTATCAAAACAGAAAAGAATCCTCTTTGTCGTCTCCTTACCGACTCATTAATTGATGATGGAATGTATTCTGTTGTAAACTGTGGAACAATCTCTCCCTCCTGGCTCTTAATCACCTCTTCTGCATTCAGGCCCTGGGCACGGCACACCTGCTCCCACAAGTTGGGATTCTCACGAACTGCCACGGTAGAACAACAAGAGGTGTGTCAAGGAGTGTACATAAAATCTAAGCCTTTTATTTAATTTTTTTATAACATTGTAAATAGCAATGACATTCTGCAACTATATGCCATCTTCATTAATGCATACAGAAGCCATTCTACAGTGATTCCTTTTATTCAAACAAAGCAAACCCAGCATCAGCAAACAGCCAAAAAATACCCTTACCCATTGAAGGATGGAAAGCAGCAGGAAGAGCCAGCACAGCTAGCCTCTCCTTCTGGCTCCTGTCTAGATTGCTGGGAGAGCAGATGACAATGAGAGCTTGAGCCACCCCAGCAGGGCTCAGCTCTCCTACTGCACTGCCTCCGCCTGCATCTGGTTCGTCTGCCTTCTGCAAGATGAGAGAACATGCTGGAGGTAAGGCTTTCACTTGATGCTACCCAATCTTTATCTCTGCTAGCTTCATGTGCCTCCTCTTTCTTTGTCTCTCTTTGTCAGAAATGAGCAGTGCCTCAGAAAAAATGAATAAATATAAACAAACAAATAAACACATCTTCCATCCCTAAGAACTTACTTGAACTTTTGCATTCTGCATCATTACTGTCAGGTTGCTTAGGAGATCTGCTGCCAGTTGAGCTCCGCCTAAGGAGGCAACCAGCTTTTTGGACGAGTTCTGTGCTGCCAGCCTGACCTGGGAATGAGGACAAACCAAGCACCATACCAGCGCTTGCTCCACTGCCATCGCTTCATTCCCCAGTTTTCCAATGTGATGCGACAAAAGAATTTCACACCACGTCACCAACTGCAACAAACCTGATGTTGTTCCATAAAATTAATCACCCTTCTTAAGCTTCATCTTTCATGGTTAACAGAATTTTGTTCTGGTACAAAGAACATAGTATTACAATATCCATTATATATACAGAAAATAATTTATAAGAGAAAAGGAAAAAATATATATACTTTTTCTAAACTAAAAAAATATCAGAGCACATCATGCAAGAAATAATTGTATCAGAATACAAAATGAAAAAATAATGCTTGCCTTCCTTAGGAGCCTGAGTGAAGAACTTTTCCCCTGTGAAATACCCCTTCTGTAGGTCCAGGGTTGATGACCACAATGAAGCAATTTTCTCCTCTGCAGACATATCACTCATGCTGATCTTCAATAGCAAAACTGTTGCTGTCAATGCCTCAGATAACATCAACACCTAAAAAGAAATATGTTCATTTTGTAGAATGATGCTAATGCTCTGACAAAAAACACAGGTATTATAATATATTCAAATAGGTTGTGTTACCTATAATACATAATAATAATACAGCTAAAGTAGAATTACGAATTACTAGATAGGTGTAAATACTTTATCAAAGTTATTCAGGAATCTACAATTGCTCCTAGACATATAATTACATATACTGTACTACATAAGTATTTATTTCTATTTCCAGGTAGTATCATCAAGAAGTTGCTAGTAAGATAATGGTGTACATATATTGTACCCCCCAAAAATCATGAAACAAGTACAATTAGATCCTTAATGAATTCTTCTTCATTTAATGATATGTACAAGAATGATATTAAATTCTCTAACAAAAATAAATGTCAAGAGATTAAAAAAGACTGACATGACCAGATGATAAAATTCATTCTTTTACCTAAACTGTTACTTTATTACTTGTCATACCTGGGTACTCTGGCTGAGAGCCTTGTCAATGCAGGCCAGCAGTTTGGGGATGAGAGTGGCCGCCTTGAAGGCACTTGAGGGGGTAACACACGCCAACAGGCACCGGATGTACGCTGCCCTCACACTTGTGGTCGAAGTCTTCAGGCCCATCCCTTTCTGTTTGGTAAATAAGAGCTCCTGTTATTAACACAGCTTCCCATTTACTTCTGTTCGACCCTCTTACAAAGGTATCTATAACCTCTATATCTCTGCAATTATCACCACACATGCAACATGAAATTCACAGGAGAATTACCGGGAAGAATTCAATCAGTTTTGGGGGGATGTCGGTGTTGAACTTGCCCGCCCAGGCAGTGAGGGCAGTGAGGCCTTGCACTAGCGACCCCTCATGACTCTCCGTCTCCAGGACCTTGATCATCTTTTCCAAGACCATCACTGACAAGTTGTAAGCACTGCTCCCTGTTACACAGTGCTCGCTGATGGCCTCGACGCCCTAAAAAAAAAGAAAACTAGACTATCTTCTACCATGGCATATGAAAAAATAAAAAATAAAAAATCAAGCCACTGACAAAGATTACAATAACAAATTTCCAAGTATATAGCCTGAACTAATTAATTATTACATTTCAAGCTCTTATAAGAAACATACCTGTAGGACAGACACTTTCTGAGTATTGACAGTCAGCTTTCCATCTGAGCCAAAGAACACATCAAACACAAGCTTCACAAGTACTTCCACGGCTGATGCATCACTACACTGCTTTGAAAGCTGTCGGCACACCTCAACTGTGTCATCGCGCACTTGATCTTCCTTGGCATGGAGTGGGCCTGGAAAGACAAGGATACAATTACATCTATAAAATATGGTAACAAGCAGAAAAATCATACATACTATTTCCAGTTTTCTTCACTCAATGAACTCTAGAAATCTATTGTCTCAGAACTTACTGGCAAGCAACTTGCTAAGTTCTTCCACGTATTGGCTCAGGTCAAGATTGAGCCCCGAACAAAGCCGAGCCACAGCCTCTAGGATGACTTCGGGATTACGCAGGAGGGACTTTTTAAGAGCAGGTAAGATCAGCTCTTTAAAATCGTCATGGCTCAGCTGGCGCAAGAGTGGCCGTGTCTGGTCTAAGATGAACGGTCTTGGCTGGGGAAAGTAACAGAATTTAAAATCCCTCTGCTTCCTCAAAATTAAATAAGACATGTTTACTGCAAAATAACATAAATACAGTTGAAAACTTAATTTTTTTCATTCCCTTCAATCTAAATATATATTCTAAAAAACACTAAAAACATCTGCGTAAAAAAAAAAAAATCAAAATTACTTCTTACAGTCTTACTCCCGTGGAAGCATATTTCGACTCCTCCTCCAGAGAAAGCTAAAGCCTCACCTTGATCTTAACCTGGATGACCAACTTGACGTAGGTCTCGGTGAGCACACGCTTCATGTTGGCAACGGGAGGCGACACATTGTCCTGGGTCATGAGTTGGAGAAGGTGACCCCCAAGAATCACGCGGTGTATGCTGATCTCGCCGCTCACCAATGCCTGCGAGAAGAGGTCCCCCCAAAAAAGCATTTCTTAGAATACCGAAAGTCAACCAAGATTTCCCGACGTCAATTTCTCATTATCAACGCTTTTTTATGAGAAACCCACATCACTAAGCTTACCTCACAGACAGCTTTTAGCAGATCCTCATCCTTTATAATGGGCCTGAGGGTTTTCAGGGTCTTGCTAGTCAAAAAGTTGTCGTTGGCCGCAACCGTGAGGGAGAAGTGTATCGCCAAGGCCTCCGTTAGAGCAGTGGCCTCCTTTGAGCTAATGGGGTGCTTGGAAGAAAAGGCAATGCACCAGACCCTTGCTGCCACCTCTGCTGGGAAAATGTGGATTCGGGCCAGTGCACGCCTGTGGAAAATTTTCTGCATTTTAGGAGACGATACAACATACTTTAAATATTATGTGCATACAAGTCTCATTCTCTCAGAGAGTCAGACAGTCAGTCAGTCAGAGAGTCAGACAGTCAGTCAGTCAGAGAGTAAGTCAGTCAGTCAGTCAGAGAGTAAGTCAGTCAGTCAGAGAGTAAGTCAGTCAGTCAGTCAGAGAGTAAGTCAGCCATTCAGAGAGTAAGTTGGTAAGAGTCAAGTCAGTCAGTCAGAAAGTTGGTAAGAGTCATTTAGTCAGTCAGTGAGTCAGGTCTCAGACACATAGACAGCTGCCAATAATCCTAAATGAGAGTGCTGGGAAAGCTAAAATGAAATCAACTCACGATGAATGAGGTGCCGATGAATGCTGTTGCGCAAGAGCCTGCAGGGACAGGGCAAGCGCTGGGATGGAGGCAGCATGCTTCTTGGCCAACGTGTAAATCAGTTCACGTAACTTGCTCCTCGAGGGGCCGTCGGTGTAACTCGGAACCACCTGCACCAGGAGTCGGGACACTCCCTTCACTATCACATCCGGCAACTCTGTCAGCAAAAAGCATTATGGGATAATGTAACAGTATTTTACAACATATTCTATCAATAAGAACAGTCAGCAGTATGAAATAATAAGGAGGAGGGGTCCACTATCAATAAAACATAGCCTATTTCTCATCAAAGAGACAATGAAATATGAATCTTTATACCCAATAGGAAGCCAGGAAACTTTGGCACTTACAACACGCAATTGCTTGGTTTGCTTTTTTTTTTTTTTATCCATGAGACAACCTATTCTAAATAGGTAGGACTAGTGTCTCCTATTTTTTTCTTTGTAGATCCAGATATAAGGAGGTGGCTATAAAAATTGATATTTTCTGATGGACTCTGAACCAACTATGAGTGCAACATTGTGTAATATGCAACATTACTGTATTCTTAACCCGTCAGTGCTGAGCCACGCCTGTAGCCACTATAACAAATGGATATATGAGTGACAACTCCCTAGAGTGTGTTGAGCAGGATGTTCCACTACATGTAGCGGACTCCCGGGCCAAACTGCAGGACAGTTACCAGAGTCATTGACACCAAGAGATTTTTAATACTATCATTGAGGGATTAAAATAGAAATAATTTGTAACATTAATATACTTCCAAATTCAGACTACATACCTACATCACGGCATACAACACAATTACAGCATTCCACTCCAATTTATAATAGAGCATACCCTCTCAAAATGTTCTGTATATCAATATGTTCAATATGCTTGTTATCAACATCTGAATCCAACAATATCTTATCATGAGTTAGAGACTCCCTGTCACAAAAATCACTAGTTTATGATAAGGACAACCCTCCACCCACCATTCCAGGTAATAACTTTCAGGGGTATTCATAGGTTTTCAGGGTTCAAGGAGGGGGGGAAGGGCTAAGAACTGGAACACCTGTGAGCTAAAATTATTAAGTACCATGTATTTTGCTCATAATTCATGGACTGTACCCAATAAAGGCCCCTTATGAGGGACTGCCACCCCCCTGCTCCCCTCCTATCTCCCCCACCATGAATGCAAAATCTCTACCAAGTCTAAATTGCAAGGTACAGCCCATGCAGGTCCAAAGGAAGAGCCTCTTGCACGATGTTATGACCTCCCCCTAAGGCAGAGGTAAGCATCAATTGCTGCTCCAGTTACTGTAATAGTTATGGGAGTTTTCAGACATCAATATTATGCCTTTTCATTAGTTCTGCTGATTATCTGTGCTATATCTAGTTACTGGACATTAATAGGACTTCATTGATGACAAATTTTATGGGTTTTAAGACATGTACCTAGTAACAACACAACTAAACCAACAACCCGAATCTCTTTAGCTAAGAAGGATTTCATATTCTTAATCAAATTCATCATTTCATTTATCATCAGTATGCAACAGTTAGTGTAATGGTACTAATGAATATTTCTGAGAATCTCTCTCTATCAATGGCATTAAAAAATGTTTTATTCTACACCCCTGGAAACCTCGTCCCAAACCCCCCAAACCACTCCAAACCGCAAGCTCCACACCGGAAAAATCCTCTCCCGCGGCCACAATTCTCCCCTCAGTTAGTACTAGCCACCCCGTACAAACCCCCCCCATGTTGGCTGAAGGCCTGTAGACGATTCCCCGAGAAAGGGAACGTACGGAAGCAAGCGGAATCAAGCGTAATATCTACATAATATAATAAACGTACAGAATCAAGCGCAATATGTTTGGAAAATGTTAGGGAATTAAATGTCTCTCTTGGGGGCAAAATTATCGCTTGTGTTGTGGACAGTTTCGTAAGAGGAGTGCGGACAACAGCTACAAACGACTGTCAAGATGTTGGCAGACTGTCATGACAACAAATTAAAAAACAAAGAAAAATAAAAATAAAATAAATTTGGGGAATACCTTATTGTAGTTCCCCTTATATATACGTATCGTTCATACCCTCATAACTCTCTTAACTCATGATTTTCCCCTCGATTAAGTCTCCGATAACGTATAAAATTACCTCCTGCCCCCCTAAATAAAAAGAACCAAAATAAAAAAAAAGGAAAAATAATTAATTCCTCACCATCTCTGTTGACAACTTCCAGCGCCGTGTCGATGCCGGCTCTCCTCATGCTCCTTTTCGGGGCTGCCAACAGCTGTGGCACCCCTTTCAGCTTCTCTATGACCTAGGTAACCAAACATGAGATTAAAGGGAGGGAAATTATGCGAATTATGTGCCACAAAATACGAAAAACACGAGAGACACTTCCAACATGCTCTTTTACCTCGGCATCCCCCATGTTAACTACACTCGCTCATCCGACACTTTTTGGTTAGACTTCGATGTACACTTATCGGGTGTTTTTTTTCCTTATATGTGGGGGATTTTGTGGTCGTTTCTTCTATTCGGTATTTTCTGTGGTTTTGCTTGATTTATATATATATTTGTGATTGGTAGTGATTTTGTTTATTAATATGCAATGCAATGATTTGGGGTTTTATGTTGCAACGTTGTTCAACATCTTTTTGGAACTGTTTGTTGTGAACTTTGAAGATTGCGACTTTGTCTTCTATATTTCTATTGTGTGATATTTTATAGAAGAAGCTCATTATTTGAATTACTGGTAAGATCATTAAACTCCTATCATATAGACATAAAAGTCATCAAACTGTTTCATTTGACATCCAATCGAACTGGTTTAAATATCAAGATAATTTTTCTTGTTATCATTTACCTATCATCTCCAAATAAAAGATACCTAAAATCACCCCTAAATAATAAAGATAGCCTTTTATACCTAGTAGAAAATCCATTTCCAAAAAAAAATATATATATATACATACATTCACACTACCTCGAAAAAAAAACCAAACCTCGACTTGAATAAATTTCCCCCCCAAAAAAAACTAAAAACAAAACCTCCCAAACAAAAAATCCCACTATTCCCCCTTTCAAATATAAAAAACCCAACCCCACACCATCTCCTACACGAATCACTCTTTAATTAAAAAATAATTCCCTCAAAGTCGAAGGGTCATCGTTGTTGACAGATTTTGAGGTAGACTTTAACGTTGCGTCGAGAGAGAGTAGTCCTAGAAGTCCTCGATTTATGTGAGTTTTTCGGCGGGTTTGGTGCGGTTTTGGTGGTTTTCTTTCTTTTATTCTGTTTCTCTGTTAAGTTGAGGATGCGGGGGTGTGTAGAGAGGGGGAATTAGGAGAGAGGAGGAGGGAGAAATAAGGTAATGCCGATGTCTTCATTGAGGATAGAGATAGAGATTGCTGTGGGGTTTTATTATTATTTTTTTAATGTTGTATGAAATTGATATGTTTGTGAAGTATGATTTAGTGGTGTTCTTTGCTTTATGATTATGGATAGAAGGATTATATTGAATATTTTATAGCTATTATTAACGTATATATAAATGTCTATGGCGACTTACGTTCCCTTTGTCATCATATTTTTTTTTTCTTTTTTAGTATAACCATTAATATAGTTGTTATAATTACAGTAATTATCTTAAAAAAAGGTATGACCAGTCAACTGATTTCTATTTATATTTAGGGAAGATAAAAACTGCAAGTAATGCCTACTAACTCTTGCATGATTATGTATAATGGATATATATATTTTTTTTTTTTTTTTTTTTATTGTTACTATATGTAGAGGGATATACAGAGGGCTTGGCATTTCTTGCGCAGATCCACAAAACTCGAGAGAAGTAACTCTGGATCGTGACCACTTCTGTCTACTTTTCGTCAAGCGTGTACGTGCGGGTTTTATTCCTTGTGTGCTCGGTTTATTGGGCAGTCGGCAGGTTTGAGTGAGAGAGGAAATGACAAGTTGTTTTTGTACTGTTGGATTTTAAGAGAATGTTGTTGTTGTTTTTGTTTTTTTTTGTGCATGTTTAGAAGTCTTGTAAGTTTTTGGACAAGTTTTTAGTTTCACACAGTCGTCCAGCCTTGCAATCACTATTCCTAGTTTCAGGTATTCACTTTTGTAGTATGTGTGCATCTGTTGTAATTTTCCATCACATATAATATAAATAAAGATATTGGTAATTGTTAACAAAGAGAGACTGAAACTAATGCCCTATTGCTCCAGCCTCTCCTGGGAATTCACAAGCATTACCTTATGAACTAAAGAACCTTCATAACCCAGGGCTTCACCCCCCCCTCCCCCCAGACCCCCCACCTGATCACCATGGACTTATCTCTGCATGGCATAAGTCACTACCAATTTTCTTCATTTCTAACATTCGCCTGTGCAGATTATTTTGTGTATCAGCGAGTGTATTTGTCCCTTTCTCTGTGATAGTGTCATTGCATTTCTGTGTAAATTTACACTTAAGTATTACGTGCTGCCCAACTTTCTTTTATATTCAGCTCGTGAAGGAAATACCATTGATGAAAAGTCTCTATTTTATGTCATTCTATCTATCACATAGTTTACCTGTGTGAAACTGAAACAATGCTAAGCTTTGCCACTGTCCAGGGAATCGATAGATTGAATAATTCTGTGACATTCTTTTTCATCAATGACGTTTGACCTGCAAATGTTTACCCATTGGATCTGGGTGCCTCACTGCCTGCATGTTTCCCGAGATCCCGAGTGTAGGCCCGTCCACAAGAACACGTGTGTGATGTCAAAACTCCTTGTCATTTCCATTGTCTCCTCTGCTTAAGCATTTGTGGCTTTTTTGCCATTTACCAAGGTCAATATTTATGACATGCTGTATCAAGATGGGAATAAACATTTTTCCCTGCACAGATCTGTATCATCACACTAGGTAAATTACAGTAATGATAATAATAAGGAACATTTTGATATATATCATTTTTTTGCTTTTTTGTAATCAATATTCTGTAACTTACCATGCACTTCCAGTCATGACAGGCTGGAATAAGATCCTGAGCTTGGAAATAGCTGGCAGTCTTCCAATCAGTGCTCACAGATGGTACATTCCACTCTCATTTTCCAGTGGAAATGAAGTAAGAATCCCTTCCTAAAAGCCCTCAAAGTCTATTCTTCATCCAGGAGTTTTTTGCACTCCTGACAAGTCATTCCTATCGCCCAGGCCTTCAGCCAAATTTTTCATGGTATCACATTCATGTCACATCACCTGTCTACCAACTCTTACCAAAATATTCTTTATGACATGATGGTCACATCGCCAGGGGTAAATAAAGTATTTGCTTATATGGCGAATAATCAAATGTCACATAAATTCTTAACAAGCCAGTTAACCCTACAATGCCAGTACCAGAAATCTCTGTCACTTATTCCGGCGACTTCTGGCAACTGTCCAACCATTTTCCCGGGGAATCTACTACATGTATCGGAACTTCCCACTCCGCTTGCTCTAGCTCGTTGTGACATCTATAGCCATACCCATCATGAGGAGTTGGTTTTTTGTGACGACTATAGGCATGTCCGGTTGTAAGATATGGAAGTGTTTGCTCAGGGGCTCTGTTTTATTATGATGAGAATGGAAATTATTAACCCATTCATGCTGGGTAAAAATGAACAAAAAATGGGGAAAATGCTGTGCTCATTTTTTATCTTTTTTTATGAAATTTCTCTACACTAGATGGCTCTGCCTTACCGGATTTCACCTTTACTTGAATTGGCGGGAAAAGTTATTATTACTAGTGTTACGAATATCAATGGTTATTTTTATTATAAACATTATAATTACTATGTTATAAACACTAGTAGCAGCAAAATAAGATAACGCAAAATAATTTTGTATATTAAAGAAAAGGGTAAACAGGCGAGACAGGCAGTACAATAACAAGTGTAGCTATCTATGTGTGAAAACAATTAAACAAGTAAACTCACAGTGAGCCTGTCAAGTATACGTGACGCCCGGCGCGAATGGGTTAAAGAGAGTCATATTGGAAACTTTTTGTTTGATGTAAATGAAAGGAAATGATTTTAAGCATCAAATATATATTAAAATTTTAAGGTTAATGAAACTAACACATTGTACTCCAAGTATACATGCTCTGGAATCTAGCAAGATGAAATACCCAAATAAAGAACCAATCCTAGTCTTGCCAGAATATACGCGGTGGGGGGTTGGAGCCATTGCTGGAGCCCCAAAGCCTTCTGTCACAGGTCATTGCAAGTGTCAAGTGGATGAAGTAGAAGTATAAGAGAAATTTATATTTTGGAAAGCTGCTGGATGTTAGTAATAGTTTATTAAGTCTAAAAATGAGAAAGATCTCACAGTGCCATAGGGATATATGCACTGTTGGCATATACTTTGTCATGTAAGTGAAGGGAAAATCCATATTATTCAAAATGATAGTACAACATGCAGAGCATGTACATGCATCATTGGCGGTGCAGTATCTTTGATTGCTTTTTGGTTAATATGTACAGAAAATAGTCTTTGATCTTGAGATAATTTATTTCTTGGTAGTTTTGCAGGGATTAACAGTTTCAGTACAAAAAGGAATACTTTGTAAAAAGAGGGAGATATAATGTTTAACACTTCTTTCAATACCTGACTGTACAGTATCCATCAGTATGTATACAGTGATGTACAAATTATTTATAATGTATACTTTCAAGTCCTTAGAATTAAAGGCAAGATTGCTAATAACTTGTTGTCTTTCTTTTTTTCTACAGTAAAACATGGACCGTCTTCTGCGCTTGGGAGGAGGCCTACCAGCCCTTGGCCAGGGACCCCCACCCAATGATGCTCCTGTTCCGGACACTGCTGAACAGGTGAGTTGACACTGCACATTTAAAGAATGTATCTTATACATGGTCACTACATATTTAGGTTACATGAGAAATAGTGTCTCTTTTACTAGGCAAAGAAAAACGTGAATAATAACATTAGGGTGTGTATAATGTTATGATAAGGAATATGAGTTCATTCTTATGTACAGATAGGTTTTCTGTATTGAAACAAACCCTTTCAAACAAATGATTTATAATAGGATAATTTAAGATTCCTCTAACCCTAAGTGCATTTCCTATCTGCAGGTTTACATCTCGTCACTAGCATTATTGAAGATGTTGAAGCACGGCAGAGCTGGAGTCCCCATGGAGGTGATGGGGCTGATGCTGGGAGAGTTTGTGGACGACTACACCGTCCGAGTTATCGACGTGTTCGCTATGCCACAGAGCGGAACGGTGAGTGAAGTGTTTAGGGTTACTTTCTCTGTAAATTCAGGCTGTGAATAGTATAGTGCAGGTCATTAGTCAAGAATAAAAATGGAGAATGTTAAGAAATGATATTGATTAATGGGATGTTAGACTTTGCAGTCATAGGTTAGATGTAGGCAACTACTAGGTTTGTTTTAAATATTAGAGAGTTCTAAGCTAGTTAGAATATGGCAGTTAGCAAGAATAAAACAAATTGCCTTCAGATCACTACATCATACATAGTAAAACTTACAAATATTACATTGTTTTGTATACCTCTATACTTATGAATACAGAATAGGGAAGCTTTTAATCTGTTTAAGTAGAATTCCAGGTCCTGCTTTAAAATCTATAAAAGCCAGAGAATACATATTGTTATCTATATGACATGAGGGCACTATAATTATCACAATGTTGACTTCAGTTAATTCTTCCTCTTTTATTTTCAGGGTGTATCAGTAGAGGCTGTAGACCCAGTGTTCCAGGCCAAGATGTTGGATATGTTGAAGCAAGTTGGGCGGCCAGAGATGGTGGTCGGCTGGTACCACTCTCATCCAGGATTTGGGTGCTGGCTCTCGGGGGTCGACATCAACACCCAGCAGAGTTTCGAGGCTCTGTCTGAGAGAGCCGTAGCTGTTGTGGTTGATCCAATCCAGTCTGTCAAAGGTGTGTGGTTTGGGTCACAGAAGCTGGTTGGTTTAATTTCCTTTTTTTTTTTTTTTTTTTTTTTTTTTTTTTTTTTTTTTTTCTCTCTCTTCTTTTTTTTTCTTTCTTTCTTTTTTTCTTTCTTTCTTTCTTTCTTTCTTTCTTTCTTTCTTTCTTTCTTTCTTTCTTTCTTTCTTTCTTTCTTTCTTTTCTTTTCTTTTCTTTTCTTTCAGACAGGATTTATTGTCTTGCTGTGATAAGTATAAATTGTCAAATACATTTGTTTAGAAAGTCTTGTTACTGCACATTGGTCCTAACTATTATCTCAACATTCTTTTGTAATTTTAATGTTGATACTGTTCAGATGAAATGTTTAGAAAATTATCAGAATATTTGGGAAAAAGCATCCTCTTTCCTTTTAATCTTGAAACTAAGTGTATTTTGTCCTTTTAATCTTGAAACTAAGTGTATTTTGTCCTTTTAATCTTGAAACTAAGTGTATTTTGTTAATAGGTCTTTATTCGCACTGAAATCCAATTGTAGCTTTACCCTAGTGACATCCTTGAACGGGCAACCGATAGGGTACGACATTACCGTGATTATAATTTAGTGATGTATTCTTGCTCTTGCCATTTCTTTACTCTTTACCTAACCTTTTTCTTTTCTTTTTCTGTACCCCAGGTAAAGTAGTGATTGATGCCTTCAGATTAATTAACCCCAACATGATGGTTCTTGGGCAGGAGCCGAGACAGACCACTTCTAATCTTGGACATCTTCAAAAACCATCCATTCAGGTAAGTTCAGATTTTAGCTGGCTTGGTTATAGGTGGGTCTAAAATATGATGAACTGTTTTCATTGTGATAAATGTAGAAAAAGTATGAATGAGAATATCATGTTCTGTGGCTAAAATAGTTATATGCTTGTGCTTGATTTGCATTATTTTGAATAACGTAAAGTTTTGTTCATAGTGGGCCATTGACTGCATTAGATTATTATTATCATCATCATCATCATCATCATCATCATCATCATCATCATCATCATCATCATCATTTTTTTGTTTGTTTGTTTGTTTGTATTAACATAAAAGTTGGAATACAAAACTGTTGAAACTCAGCAATAAATTACAAATTAGAAGCCACATCCAGACGATAAAGATTGACGAGTTCTGAGTGTCTTGCTTAACAAATTCTTTTTACCCTTCCAGGCCCTGATCCACGGACTCAACCGTCACTACTATTCCATCCCCATCAAATACCGCATGAATGAAAGGTAAGCCCATCCAGTAAGTCAATCTACAAGAAACCTCAATTTAAATATTTGTCAAGAAAAACTTTTTTTTGTGTGTGCCTAATCATCTCGGTACGCAGTTCAGTGTCTAAAAGGCCGTCTCCTAAATCTTTCCAGAGAACAACAGATGCTCCTTAACCTGCACAAGAAGTCGTGGATGGAAGGCCTGACACTCCAGAACTACAATGAGCACAGCAGTCTCAATGAGGACACTGTTAAGGAGATACTTAATTTGGCCACAGCATATAATAAGGTAAGTTAAAGGGAACTGTTGTAATTGTTATCAGTATTATGTATTATCCTGTTGCATAATTTTTTGACAATTGATAATTATACTGTTTTTGCTGTAGGTATTTCGTACACCCATAGGATCTAATCTATTTCAATATTTCCTTTCAGAGTTTGGAAGAGGAAGAGAAAATGACCCCAGAGCAATTAGCCATCAAGAACGTAGGGAAGCTCGACCCCAAGCGGCATTTGGAGGATAAGGTCGAAATCCTCATGACCTCAAATATTGTGCAGTGTCTCGGTGCCATGCTGGACACTGTTATTTTCAAGTAAATCTCCTTTTATTTAGACTACAGTTTTAAATGAATCGGTTATTAGTGTAAACTGGGTACTGTACCAAGAGGATTGTTCTGCTATGCCTAGGAATGATTGCAGCATTGTATGACAATAAATACTGAAAGATATTGTGTGTTTTGTACCAGCATCTTAAAACCTGGTTATCAACCCAAAACAAAATTACGTATGTGTCTGTTATTAAGCACTACAAAATTCAAAAGGAAGATGAATGCAAGTATTTTTTGTTTTCTTGTTGCATTTATTTATGTGGAAATAATTAAAGTTATACACTATACACTTGAAGCCATTTGCTTTGCCATTCCTTTGTTAGCAATTCTAAATCCAGGTATATTTTCAAGCATCATTCTCATGTACCTCATAACTTTTATATGGAAAGGGAAGAATAAATTAAAATTAGACAAACAGAAAGAAACATTTTTCCATACCACAATTAAGTGTTGTAAACTCTATACTGTAATAAAAAAATAATAGTTTTGATGAATTTGTCATAGCCTTTTAATACATTTTTTTTTATACATGTTATGTACATAGTATGGAAGAAATATGACATCTACATGTTGATTTTGAACAATAATGATGAATGAGAAGCACCATAATACTGAAGCCATATCAGGAAGACGTCTACAGAGTGCAGATTGTGACAGTATTTTGAATGAGATCACATTAAGCAGGTTTTGATACTATACGTTAAAATTAATCATGAACGAGGATTGTGCTAGATTTCTAATACTTCATAAGTTGCATTTGAAGTCATTAGGCATCTACAGAAGGGCCATTGACAGTTTGTTGAGTAAGGTCATTGCACTTGTGTCATGCTCTGTCATGACAGAGTATTTTGAAGTATACAGCAGACTAGCATCTAGAAATTTGTTTAAGTTAGCAATAGAGTGAGAAGTTATATTGCTTTTGCTCTATTTCAAGTGAAAATTTGCTGCTAATCTATTTCTGAATTTCCTTGACTTTTTTTGTGGACTTCCAGTATGGTTTCCCATAGCTGGTGAGCCTTTGTTATCTGTCGAGTTATTCATATGATGGCCTTTCCCCCCCGACTCTGCATCCTTTACATTCTGTCTTTGTTCAATGAAGGATACACAAGGCGTGTCCGACTCTGAGCTCTGATTCATCCATGAAAAGGCCATGATAAGATCGGACTTATTGTCCCTTGATTTCCTAGCTTCCATCATTCCCTTGCTGTCAAAACCTGAAACTACACTGTAACTTCTGCTCCCCTGGGCACTCACAGTTGTGGTGACGACCTGGGTGTCACCCTCACGACAGGGCACAACTTGCAGGTCAGATCTCTCCGTAGGTGCATGCCCTCTGGGTAGTTTCTGCCTGCTTTCTGAATCCAAGATATTCCTCTCGTTACCTGCACTTCCAAAGGTCTCGTGGCCTGTCCTGTACAAGTCATGTGATTGCTGTGTAAGGCCTGGCTGTCTCCTGCTCTGGTCACTGGAGCTCTCTCTGTCTTGGTGTTGTACCAGTTTGTGAGCAAAGGTAACATGCTTGGCTCTCAGAGATGGGCTGCCAGGTACTTTGAGACAGGAACTTGGCTTATCTGCTGTTGTGGTTGTTCCTGAGCTTGAAGCAGGCGGCTGGCTGGGTTGCGACTGCGACCCTGGGCATTCGCTGGGCACAGCAGTTCTTTCCTTTTCTCCATAGCGTGGGCTTGATGGAACACGGCTGGGCAGAATATTCTCCTGAGAGGCCGTTTCTTTGTTGCTGTCTTCCTCTTTTTGCATTCTAAAATGAGAAACAATTAGGGAGTCTTTGAGCAAAATAGAGCCTTTTCTTCGCTCCATTTTTGGTGTACTGTGTTCATTATCCTCACTCACTCGGGATCCAGCTCCTGAACCAGACCCTTTATCAGAGTCTGTTGCTACGCCTTTAACTATAACTGTTCCTTTGTGCCGACAGAAACCCTGGCTGTGAACAGATGTACTAGGAGTTTTATTTTCTTTTTCTCTGTAATTGACTTCTGGAAGATTATCACTTGATTTTTTTCTTTCATTCTCTTGATCTACCAATTTGTTTGAATCTTTATGGGGAGAGAACACTGGGATACTGGAATACTTTCTATCGTAAGAAGTCTTGGTTTCTAAACCCGTTGTTGCTGCACGCAAGTTCTCGTGGGAGGAGGACGACTTTTTATTCGACACCCCACCATGAAATCCAGACACATCATTCAGAACCTCACCATCAACAACAACAGATCCAGAACTTATCACAGAATACTTGGAATAAACAGACGAATCGACATTCTTGTAAGGCGAACTACTTGCATCGCTAGTGCTTCCTTCACTTCCGCTGCTATAGGATTTTCTCTGGGATTTGGGAGAATGTTTCTGCATGATGTTTGGAGACAGGGGTTTTAAAGACTCCCTCTTAGACGTTTCTGCATCGCTTGCCACGTGACTCTGCCTCTCCCTCAAACTAGTGTCACTGCTCTTGTCAGAACGTTGAGAGCATGTGGGCCCAGACCTGTAAGTTTCTGGCATCACCTTCTGACCAACATTTTCATGTAGGTTCACCGAGTAACATGCTTTCCTTGGTGGACCACCAGCTTGAGGAGGTTCATGTGGAGTTAATGATACCTGTGACAAAGTAATTTACATTCAGTACCTCAAATATTACATGCCATGTATGAAATGTACACATATTCAGACAGACAAACCAAATCTCATGTTTATTTTTAAAATGTGGCTCTTGTAGATGCAAACCACTGAAAATGTTAACTAAATTTTAACCAAAAGCAATGAAATCCCACTTACTTTGAGATGCCCCCTGACACATCCTCGAAGGTCAAGCAACGGGTACCAGCCACAGAGGGAGACATGTCCACTCCATATAGAGGTGGCATCCACACACACAAAACCCATTAATGGATCTTCTAATGAGGGTGGCTGATCCCAGGATCCATGATGGACCTTTAGTATTAAATTCCCATCAGTCTGTAAAAAAAAAAAATATGCTGTCATTAGTATCAAACTATCTGGAAAAAATACTAATACTCACACTCATATCTTTTAGAGGCATTACTGATTATATTTATATACTTCTTTATATTTCAATTTATATACTTCTTTATTTTTCAATTTATATACTTCTTTATATTTCAATTTATATACTTCTTTATATTTCAATTTATATACTTCTTTATATTTCAATTTATATACTTCTTTATTTTTCAATTTATATACTTCTTTATATTTCAATTTATATACTTCTTTATATTTCAATTTATATACTTCTTTATATTTCAATTTATATACTTCTTTATATTTCAATTTATATACTTCTTTATATTTCAATTTATATACTTCTTTATATTTCAATTTATATACTTCTTTATATTTCAATTTATATACTTCTTTATTTTTCAATTTATATACTTCTTTATATTTCAATTTATATACTTCTTTATATTTCAATTTATATACTTCTTTATATTTCAATTTATATACTTCTTTATTTTTCAATTTATATACTTCTTTATATTTCAATTTATATACTTCTTTATTTTTCAATTTATATACTTCTTTATTTTTCAATTTATATACTTCTTTATATTTCAATTTATATACTTCTTTATTTTTCAATTTATATACTTCTTTATATTTCAATTTATATACTTCTTTATATTTCAATTTATATACTTCTTTATATTTCAATTTATATACTTCTTTATTTTTCAATTTATATACTTCTTTATTTTTCAATTTATATACTTCTTTATATTTCAATTTATATACTTCTTTATATTTCAATTTATATACTTCTTTATATTTCAATTTATATACTTCTTTATTTTTCAATTTATATACTTCTTTATTTTTCAATTTATATACTTCTTTATATTTCAATTTATATACTTCTTTATTTTTCAATTTATATACTTCTTTATATTTCAATTTATATACTTCTTTATATTTCAATTTATATACTTCTTTATATTTCAATTTATATACTTCTTTATATTTCAATTTATATACTTCTTTATATTTCAATTTATATACTTCTTTATTTTTCAATTTATATACTTCTTTCCAGACACATCATTCAGAACCTCACCATCAACAACAACAGATCCAGAACTTATCACAGAATACTTGGAATAAACAGACGAATCGACATTCTTGTAAGGCGAACTACTTGCATCGCTAGTGCTTCCTTCACTTCCGCTGCTATAGGATTTTCTCTGGGATTTGGGAGAATGTTTCTGCATGATGTTTGGAGACAGGGGTTTTAAAGACTCCCTCTTAGACGTTTCTGCATCGCTTGCCACGTGACTCTGCCTCTCCCTCAAACTAGTGTCACTGCTCTTGTCAGAACGTTGAGAGCATGTGGGCCCAGACCTGTAAGTTTCTGGCATCACCTTCTGACCAACATTTTCATGTAGGTTCACCGAGTAACATGCTTTCCTTGGTGGACCACCAGCTTGAGGAGGTTCATGTGGAGTTAATGATACCTGTGACAAAGTAATTTACATTCAGTACCTCAAATATTACATGCCATGTATGAAATGTACACATATTCAGACAGACAAACCAAATCTCATGTTTATTTTTAAAATGTGGCTCTTGTAGATGCAAACCACTGAAAATGTTAACTAAATTTTAACCAAAAGCAATGAAATCCCACTTACTTTGAGATGCCCCCTGACACATCCTCGAAGGTCAAGCAACGGGTACCAGCCACAGAGGGAGACATGTCCACTCCATATAGAGGTGGCATCCACACACACAAAACCCATTAATGGATCTTCTAATGAGGGTGGCTGATCCCAGGATCCATGATGGACCTTTAGTATTAAATTCCCATCAGTCTGTAAAAAAAAAAAATATGCTGTCATTAGTATCAAACTATCTGGAAAAAATACTAATACTCACACTCATATCTTTTAGAGGCATTACTGATTATATTTATATACTTCTTTATATTTCAATTTATATACTTCTTTATTTTTCAATTTATATACTTCTTTATATTTCAAATACATCATGAATTTAAAGACGATGAAATAAAAGGCTTACTTGACAGAGTTGTGAATATGGCAGTAAGACGTCAGCTGCATAATTCCACATGGGATTATCAGCTTCTAAGCATATATTAGTCTGGATATTATGTGACCCTATGGTTGCTCTCACATAGCAGCTGGGTGGCTTTAGGGTTCCATCGGGCCCCTCCACCCACGGGAGGTTTCTGCCTTTTAGGATTTCTAAATGCACCCTACAGGACCCTCTCCTCTCTTCCTGCTTCATCTCGGCACTCGATCTCCGATTCAGTAATGCGTGTTCAATGTAGTCTGCGTGGAAGTCGCCAATAGTCCTGATACATGGAGATTCCCCTCCACTTTCAACAGGCTGGTTGTTTGTCTGAGGATCATGACCATTAATGCCAGCAAGAAACGAGCCCTGGTAAATGCGAAATCCAGTATCACAGGAGCTAACAACCTTGGTAGGGACAGGGCTGCTCAGGATGCTGTCCACCACCTCGACTCTCCCCGGTTGCTGTTGCCAAGCCCCATTGTAAATTTTTTCTCTGGGGCTCATGTGTGTTGGGAGGTATATTGAGTTGAAGACAGCTGACTGGAAGGGTTCGTAATTCTCAGGTGGAACAGGTCGGGGTTTGAAAATCCGTATAACCTCTCTATCTTCGCCGTCAGGATCTCTGTGAGACCTGGGGCCAGCATGTGGTGGGGGAGTGGAAGGCAGTGCATGTGTATATCCCTTCTCCCTCAGCTTGGCAAGGTAAGGGATTTCTTTTGGTTTCGAATCAGGGTGTCCCACGTGGGATCCGACGTCATGTGAGCCTTTTCTGTGATGGAGATCCCAGGGTTCTTCAAGGTCCGCAGCATGATGTGATTGTCCCACCGCCAGCCCCAGCCTTGCAGTGAAGGTTAAATTTGCATAGGACTGCTTCACGTCTCCCTCCTCTTTCCTCTTGGCCTTCCGTCTCTTGGTCAGCGAATCTTTGCCATCTGGTACTTCAGAACGGAAGAGAGGTACCTGCACCTCTGAGCCACTGAGCTGCCACAAGTCCATCATGCTGACACTAGCACTGCCAACTTCTTCACTGTCCCTTTCTCCAAGGCGCCGACACACAGATCTGTTAGAAAACATCAGAATTACATTAGTTTAGCAACATACTAAAAAATTGATTTAATTATCAAAACTAACAACATTAATTAAGCACAATTTTCCCATTTGATAAACATTTTTGAAGACAGAAATTTTGCTCTTCATCACCTTTTTATTTAGTCGACTACTATCCAATAATTTTTACTCTATCCTTTTCTTTTTTTAAGTTCCTCCTATCTATCCCCAATAAAAATATCCCATTCTCTCTAATTATCTATCAATCATCAATTACATTTTTAGTACATACACACCAAACCAGTCAGTGCATGCGAGTACACTTAAGCATTCCTCTCCCTTCTATTCTCGGCACAATTGCAGACTGAAGGCTTAGTTGCCTCTTGACTCACCTGATTTCCAGCTGACCTCTGAGGATCTCCAGTGCTGGTGCTGGGGGAAGCTTCAGCACCTCCCTTACATTGTAGTTGATTTCTGAAAAGCATAAAATAGGCAGGTGATGTATTTCATGTTACTTGGGACGTCTCTTTACACTTGAAGAATTTTTACACAAAGTATTTCTTTACATCAAAATATTAACTTGTCACAATGGAAATCCTAGCATTTTACACAAAGTATTCCTTTACATTAAAATATTAACTTGTCACAATGGAAACCCAAGCTAGAGCATTTTCCTCCCCCTACCATTGTCAGCTAATTGTCTCGAAGCACAAGTCTGCAACAAGTCCCATTCTGGAGGTATTTCAACTGCTGGTAACTTCACCTCCAATGTGGTCAGGTAGCACACTCTACTGCGATGCATGACCTTCACACCTAAACAGAAAGATGGAATGAGTCACAATAAACAATCGTACGTTTCGGAATAATACTGCGCACGCATATTTCAAATGGTCACAAGGCAGAACAAAATATAAAAAAATAATCCAATACTTACCACTGATCTTCTCCTTCTTATCAGGTGGTCTGACGGGAAGCAGTGAGGGAGCCAAAGTCAGTGTGCCAATATCGACTACCAATACTGAACCCTCTTCTGGAAATTTTACAAAATTAGATAATAACATGGTTCATTACCTATCATATAATTTCACTGAAAATTATCAAAATAATATACAACATACCAAAATCTAATAAAATTTAGAATTGATGAATTAGTGGAATCGATACCAATGCTTTTGAACATTTAACCCTTAGCTGTAAGGAATGGCATGTACATGTACATGTCATACCCACTGGAAGTTTATCTATTCATTGTCTTTTTATACAGATAGCCCTACAAGTACTGAGTCATCAAGGAATTAAATACTAGTATAACCTAATTCATATGTTTACTCTTGTCTTTTTTTTTAATATTTCCTTTTATCTTATATTGCCATTAATAACTAAAAAAAATACTCAAGGGAAAGAAAACTCATGGAAAAATGAAATCAGGTTAAGTCAAGAGGTCTACTAACTGATTCCTTGATGGCTGAGCACTTGTGGAGCCATCTATGTGTAGAGACATTTCACAAAACAAAACTAAAACGAACACTACATTTCCCCATTAGCAATGGATTAAAGTATCTAACCACAAAACTATTGGACTAATCAGAGATATAATGTATGTGTGAAAACCAGGGAAAATCATCAGGCTGTTAGACTGAATGAATAAGACCAAAAACCCTTGTTTTTTCACTCCCTTCAAAAGATTTTTATTCTAAACATAAGTAATGGTCAAAGTCAAAGCTGTTCCCATATCTAAGTGGACATAGGGGTCATATTCATAGAGGAACATGCATACTAGACTGTAGGATGATGCTGTGGGGTGGCCAGCTCCTTTCCACCCCAACAAGCTCTTAGTAATTGCCAAAAGAGACACAAACCTTCAGAGCCCCTCCTTGTTGATGGCCCGTCAGAAGCCCTTCTCCCTATGGGTCCATTTTCCTGAATATCAGAAAGTTCCTCTTCATCCTTTGAGGTGAATGAAGCATCCCTGGCTGCAGCTGAAAGGGTCCTCTCCGCAGTCGGCCTTGACAGCAAAGACCGGCAAGCTGTCCCTGGGCTCTTGGATCCTGCGTGGCTCATGGGTATCTTTGATTTTGCACTGCCAACTTGACTGAGCCTCCTAGCAGCCCTGGGACTTGCATGGGGTTGTACCCTTTCCTGCAACACTGGCTTGCTACCCTGGCACTCCTCCATCCTCTCCAATGGCCACACTCCTGAGGTCATGGACATGCCTGAGAAGCTGATTGCATCCTGCTCGTTCCCCTTGAAGACAGAGAACCCCTGTGACCTGGGTTTCTCTCCCTTCTTCTCCATTCCTGAGGTCTCACTCCTGGAGAAGCTTCTCCCTGGGGATGTGGAGCTGATTCCCGAGAAGCTCATGGACAGGTCTAGTCCCTCAAGGAGCTTCTGTGTGTCTGGGTCAAGGTTGGAGAGATCAAGGCTAGGTGATCTACCCTCCAGGACCTGCATGAGGATAGGAAGGTCCTCCTTCTTCACAGCTCCAGACTCTGTAAAACAAACCAGTGATTTAAAATACTATTTGCAATATTTGACATCAAAGAAGAGTGAATCAGTCATTTAGAAATAGCAGCACTGCTGAAAAATCAGACATGTATTATATCATTTATGGGTGAATAAATCATAAGTTGTTAAGTGGGTGGAAACAAAAATCTAAACATGAGAAACCAGAATAACAAAGTTTACAGGCATGCATTCATCTAATAAAGCACAAGTTTAGTAAAAGAAAAAAATATATGAACACTAAAATTAACTACTAGGACAACAAACCTAAGTGCTAATACCTAAAAGTAGGGATGTGATTGGTTGTATGTAATAAAGACTTTGCATTCTTCCTGACGAGATCCGCAAAAAACACAATGAAATCCAAAATACTGAAGGAAAAAAAATCACATCCCCAGGAAATAATCTACACTACTACAAATTATACCTCTACACACCAAGCATCTGACTCTACATGTTAAGTGAAGTGGAAAAAAAAAAAAATCACATCCCCAGGAAATAATCTACACTACTACAAATTATACCTCTACACACCAAGCATCTGACTCTACATGTTAAGTGAAGTGGAAGTAGGAAATTTATAAGTTTGTAAGAGATCAAGGTATAGCATTTCCAGGTGACTTGCTCAAAGGGAGCCTCTATTCATTTGGACTGGTTTTAGGAGAGCACAGAAGAAAAGAATTACTTGGTTCACCAATGTCTTTGATAGTCATAGGTACCAATTTGTTGACACCATTCACTTTTTTGGTGAACAGCTGATTATAATCATTTCAATAAGCCTTTTTTTTTAGTTATAGAAAAAAATAAATAAATAAATTGTAGGACTGCATATTAGTTGAAATTTGTATCCTCTCTATAATTAGCAAAGTGAATAGAAAGTTTCAAAAAAAAAAAAAAAAATCAATGGTTTGATCTGAAAAAAAACAAAAAAAACAAATGAGAAAGCTGAAAAAAGGCTATTTCTAAGAGAGTATGAACATCAGGCAGACCAAGTAGATGAAAACGTTGTGGAGAGGTGCAGGTGTTTAGGCCAGTTTCGCGTCTGGAATGGTGATGGAGGAGTTGGGACGAGAATCCACACAGGTAGGAGATGGCTGTAAAAGACAGAAAGAATACAGAGGGAACAAAGTAGACTACCCCCCCCGAAAAAAGGAAACCACTCTCATAAAACTCAAAAACGTACCAACTAAGGAATATGGATCCGCCCCATTTAACAGAGGATACAGACCCCAACTTGCTGGCCGTTCCCTGATGAGAGACTGGTTCTCACCCCTCCCTCTCCGCAGCACAACCTGGGGCTCTTGGCTCTCCATTGGCCGACTCCCCTTGGCTTCCCTCATTCTCGGTGGAGCCTCGTTTTCCTTTCCCTGGATGAAGTGGTCCCCTTGCTGTTTCCTGGGAGACTTCAGCGGATCGCTCTTCGATCTCGGAGAATTCCTGAAGCTGCTACTTCTACTCCTTGGTCTGTATCCTTCATTGACATTCTTGGGAATTTTACTAGCGTGGGTCTCCCTCACCGGGATTCCGGAGGGCCGGCCTTTGGTCTTTGCTTCACTGCTCTTGTCGTTTGGTGATGTTTGTTCGTCATTTGAAATCTTCAGGTGGTGAAAGTCATCCAGGCTCCCTTCAAGAAATACCAATGTCACCACAATCGTGCCAACAATATCTGCGGAGGAGTCGACTATCCTGCACTCACGGACATAGTCACCTCTGGTGTTCAGCTTCATGTCCGGTAACATGAAGCTCCCAACGACATCCCCATCTTGCCAGCCCTTCTTGAGACGCAGCTGCCTTCTCAGCAACTTCTGTCTCGGGGTTTCCATTCCAGATTTTTTCAGATTCTGTAACTCGTTGTTTAGCTGATGGTCCTCCTCCATATCGTGCGTTTTCCCAGAGCCTTCTATCCTGAGGCTCACGTGCAGGCTTCCAGCATCCAGAAGATACTGACGGAAGGACCGGGGGCTGCATGTTATGTGATAAACAATTCTTACTTCGCTTTTGTTTGGAGGAAGCCTGGAATGAGGCAAGACATAAAGATAGGTCTTAATATATCCGGAGGAATGAGTGATGTTCATCTATTCTAGTACCTCTGAGTTCAAACAAGTCCTGAGAAGTAAGGAAGCTAAGACACAGCCTTGTCTTACACTGGTTCATACTGTCTGAACTGTCTATAACACTAGTAAGCATAAATTCTATGGATAATTAGTGGCCCTGGGACATCAGGCAGGGGTGCAATCTCTAATCTACCATAGCAGCCTCTAAACTCAGTGTCCTTTTAAATGTACTGTATTTGCCTTCACACTTTTTTATGTACAAAAAAGAAAATAAATAATAATAATAATAACAATAACAATAACAATAACAATAACAATAATAATAATAATAATGATAATAACAATAACAATAATAATAATAATAATAGTAGTAATAATAATAATAATAATAATAATAATAATAATAACAATAATAATACAACTTTATTACAAGTGGGAGACCAAGTGCTGTATTGGTGGGCTAAGGCAACAGATAGCCAGACCCCACTAGGCATAAAAATTGTCACTAGAACTAAAAAACAAGACAAATTATTACAGCAAATTGTGTTACTATTAATAGAATACTGAAAACAAGCCAATAATAATTATTGTATATCTGCGAATGCTTTAAGTGAAAAGCAGTGGTGTGTGACCACGTGCCCACACTAGTGGCTGATCACACTAACACAAAACATTACAACCAGAAATACAAAGTTTCACATACTGTATGATAATTTTAAAAGACCAAAATATAGACAACACATCTGTTACTACAATTTTCCCGGAGGCACTTCTCCTAAAACAATTTCCCCTACAACCACTTTAACATATATTTCAATAAATATACGATGAAATGTATTCAATTTTTTTATTTTTTTATCCACAGTCTCTTTGTAAAACAGGACTGTGTCTTCCGTGAGGGTGTGCGTTATGCGTAGGCAAATACAGTACTTATCTCACTAAGAGTAGGCCTAAAAATATAAACTCACATAACGGTAAACCTTCCATTATAAAATACCTTAAATAACATACTTCCCCTTTTGTGCAGCTACTTGGAATCTTTAATATATATCTAGAAAACTTCACACTTCATAAAAAAAATAAGTGAATAAATAAATAAAATAAAACAAGTAACATAAAAAATTTAAAGAATTAAAATAATAAATAAAAACTATATACATAAAAAGAATAAAAATCTAACGAACTATACTTCCTCCGTTCCTCAAATTCACAAAACGAAGGTGAACTACACCGGCTCTCAGTAACCCCATGGAAAGAACGAGAATGAGTGACAAGGGAAAAAGAGCCTCACCGTAACACACAGGGTTGCGTGTCCCCCCACCACCTGAATGTGAAGACGAAGGTTTGTGTTGCCTTGGGCGCGGGGAACAGAGACGGCCGGCCGACTATCATATCGAGGCGGCCCTGGGGATTGAAAGATATGAGTCACTTAGAACATTCTGCGACATTGGCAGAAAAAAAAAAAATAAAAATAAAGGACTACTTCTAGCTCAATAGGTTTTGTCCTTATCAAGAATAAAAGTAAAAAAAAATCACAATATTTACTTATAAAAGCAAATAACACACATTTGTAATGTCCAAAATGTAAACTAACATTCTCAAAGCAGATTCCCCACCCTTCTATATACAGTACATATTACAAAAATCATATTGCAAAATACTTAATCTGATCCAATACAAAATAACAATCACTTGTAATATAATTCCCTTAAAAAACTCCTTAGCATGTAATAAGAAAACAGAGACAACACATCTGTTACTGAAATTTTCCTGGAGGCACTTTTCATAATACAATTTCCCCGAAAAAATTACTTTAACATATATTTCAATAAATATATGATAAGACGTATTAAAAAAAAAAAAGAATTCCACTTCCCGATCCCTTTGACAGACGGACATACCTGTGACGGCCCCTCCACTTGGGGGGGGAGGGTTCTGTCCGCCATGGCATTGGCTGACTGCTAAGACTTCTGGAAGAAAAAAATTTATATAGAAATATGCTCAAAAATATAGATTTCTAAAAAATAAAGTTGCAATATTATTTTGGGATACATGAAATAGAAGCAAGAGAGCAGTACATGGATTTTGCAATAAAAGATTAAAATATTGGAATGGTCGTTCTTTAGGAACACACCAAATCATGGTGAAAAAATGTCCAAACCATCTATGTCACAGATATCAATACCAAAACAATGTTAGCTGAAATAAATAGTGAGAAAATAAATGAATAAATAAATAATAATAATAATAATAAAAATAAATGAATAAATAAAAACTACATTACATCCCT